TTGAGGCAAGTTGGAGCTAAACTCTGCAGGACCGAGTTTGGACAGCCCTGGGCTAGGGTTTGTGTGTGTGGTTCAGATATGCCCTACTTCAGTGGTTTTCAAACCGGTCCTGCGAGCACCCCCAGCACAGCACATTTTCTAGATCCAGAACCTTTAAAAGTGTAGTAAAATGTGAAACTGATAGCTCACCATAGACAGTGAGACTGAAGCTCTTGCTCACACTGTTGGTCTGTAGTTTATAAACTCCAGTGTGTTCAGTTCTGGTGTTTGTGATGATCAGAGATCCAGTTTGATCGTCCAGCTTCAGTCTGTCTCTGAATCTCTCATCAAGATCATCATCATATACAATGATGCTGCCGGCCATTACATTGATTTGAGCTATTAAAGTATTTTCAGATCCAAACCTCCACAGAATCAGATCATCATCTGTCATTTCAGTAAGACCAGAATATAGAGTGACTGAATCTCCCTCCTTCACTGATACCAACTCCATTCCATCCACATCAACACCAAAGACACCTGGAAAACATAGAGTTTGTCACAGATTAAGGGTTAATAATTTGTTTACATAAAATAACTGATTTAAACAATTCAAATGTAAAACAAAGACCAAAGAACAGCAGAAGACTGTTAATTATACAGTCCCTCAGTTGGCCCCTTTAGTGCCCCTACTCTGGAAAATGATTGGTTATGAGAAGCCAAACACACCGAGCCCAACCTAAATGGACAGAGCCAGTTCATTTTTAACAGTGATCTTACACTGCAGATCATTTTTAAGAATGCAGTGTGAACTAGTGGGAAGCACGGTACTGTACATTCAGTTCCCCTCTGAATCATTTTAACTGGAAGTAAAACAACTTAAAAGGTGATTGCATGGTTTACATAGTTTATTTTCTGTTTTTTTAGATTGTTACACAAAAATAAAAATGATGTCATAATTTACTCCCCATCCTCTTTTTTCAAGAAATAAATGTTTAGCTGATGTCTCGGTGATCATCAATATTCAAATGTGGCAAGAACAGATTCTGCTGTTTTTTCAATCTTGTGGTTTTTCGCTTGTGGTTCAAATCAGTAAAATGCATTTTTATTTGATTGCAGCATCGTTTATGTAGGTCTAACAAACAATGTAAATCACCTGGCTAAAACGTAGTTCATGACCTAGTTATTAACCTGAAACAAATTAAGAATACGATCATAACTTACCAAAAAGATGCCACAAGCAGAACAAAATGAACTTGTTAACCATTGTCAAATAAAAGCGCTTGGAATATGTGAACACTTCTGTGACAGATGGTAAACCATCAGTCTTAAACTGTGATAGTAATAGTGCTGCGCATGATTCAGGATTTGACCACCACCCACCCAATGCACCACTCAAGCACTTGTTGGTTGAATATGTTTATCCATCTTCTATTAACCCTTTCTCCGCCAGCTTAAAAAAAAAAAAAAAGCTAGTTTAGATCCCCCTTTTGTCCTGTGTATTTATGCTCACTTTTTGGTTCAGTTCTTGGTTTATTATCATCAGTGATCCGTTATTGTCAATTAAACAAAGCAAAAACATTCTGGAGCAAAACCCAAACCAACCTACATGGTTTGCTTTGTACTCCAGACAGTTTTTGTTTTGTTTAACTACTGCATTTAGATCTGCAGCTCAAATGTCTCCATTTGCACCAACATGTGACACTTGTCATAGTTCAGGTTGGTGACTAGTGACGCTGTTCTCTTGGCACCATGGTCAAACCACACTTCTAAACAGATCAGACCACAGCAGGTTTTACTTTGACTCACAAAATGAGCTGTTGGAGTCTCACATGCATTCCAGAGAAACACATTCAGGTTTTACCCTGCTCAGAGGTCTTTTGTAGGTCTTGAGTGTATGATATACATGTTTGTACAACAGTTAAATATTTATTTGAACTACATGCTCTGCTTAGCCTGCTGCTTTTAAGGATATATTTTATTTGGTATTTCAATGTAACTTTACAGACATTTTTTTTTGTAATTTCTGAAATGCATGGCAAAACTGTTTGAATATAGAGTTAAAGTGGCTCAGTGAGCAGCAAAGTCACCCCACAGCTATTGTCTCCAGAAGTCAGACCTTTGGCTAACCACATAGTGAATTCAGCGTGGGCGTGATATCTGAGGCTGAGAATGGCACAGCAAGAACATCCCTGGTCTCACACACTCTCAGAAAAAAAGTTACAAACGCTGCCGCTGGAACGGTGCCTTTCAAAAGGTGCACTTTTGTGCCTAAAGGGTACCCTAAAGGTACATATTAGTACCTAAAAGTTACAAAAGAGTAATTTTTGAAAGGGTACCGCCCTAACGACAGCTTCTGAAACATTTTTTCTTTCTGTGAGGGCATGCAGGGGACTATGCAATGATGTTATTTGTTTTTAGGAAAATATGATTATCCACATTAATTATAATAATTAAATTAAATTCTCTATGCATAATCCACAAGTGGTGTAGATGGTGATAGCCTATACAATAAAGGCGTTCTCTCTGTTCTTTGGATTCTTAGTTTGTGTTTACATTTCCTGCGTTCAGTTCCTCTTTCCTTAGTTGCCTTAGTTTCTGATTATGTCCTTGATAAGTTCCCCGCTAATAGAATATCGCGAGTTCCTCCGGAGCGGTATTCAAGATAGTGTGGGTTTAGCGTGCTTTAAGGGCACTGGGCTTTGGCGTTTTTAAGAACTTGGACAGTCTTGCGCACTTCCTACCTGTCGCGCGCACGTGCTCTCAAGTGGCCAAGACCGCAAGTGTGGGTATTTGGACAAGGCATTCATGTGCACTTGGGTCTTACAGACTTGCAATGGCCACCGTGTGCGATTGTCCGTTAAGTCCAGAGACCGTAGGGTGTCCCATTTGTCATTTTAGCGTTCAGAAGAGTGCTCGCGAGCCCCCCCCTGCGGCCGTTATGCGCCCTCGATCCGCACTTCTGCCGAGCCCGCACTGGGGCGAGCTCCGCAGCAGACTTCTACCCGACAGTCAAAGATTCCGGCCTGACAGAGCATCACAGTATGGTAAGGGGCTTAACATTTCCGTCACACGCTTGAGGTATTCGGCCAATCACAACGCACTGGATAGCTGGCCAATCAGAACACACCTCGCTTTTCAGAACGATGAGCTTTGTAAAAATCGATGCGCTTCAGAAAGGCGGGGCATAGAGGAGAAACAATAATGTACAGAATGTGGAAAATAATGTGTTTTTTTAACCTTAAACCGCATAAACACATTTCATTACACCAAATACACAAAATATAACAATATAAGTGCTGCAGCGTAATTTGCCAAATGTCCCCCCCCCTCACCCTCATTGGAGAAAAATCACGTTCAAAAAGAAGGCGCGTGATGCTGTAATCCAAGCGATGATAGAAGTAGACTTTAGAGGAGTGGGATGACTTTATTTTAGCCTAATTTTTTATTTTTACAATGTTTTTGTAATGTATTAATTATCACGGGCTGTAATAAAAAACAAGTAGTCCTATACTAATACTAATAGTAAATATAGTTTTGCCTATATTTTAGTAGGCTATTTGGCTACAGCTCCCCTTTGAAGCTCTTGTGTTTTTCTGCTTTTCCATCTCTCCGATCCTATTCTGCTCACAGGGGATTGGAGATGAGTTTTGTTCCCACTTTTGTTGCAGTTTGCTGATTTTTGTAAAATAGCTACTGTTTTTGCTTTTCAGATAAAAGAGTGGTTTCAGTTTAATATGTTGCAGGCTCATTGATTGGTAATAAATCATTGATAATAAATAATATTGATGATAATAAATCATCAAAAAGTGTATATAGAGTATATATATAGGGCTTGTTTTTGAAGCTGATGTTGCTTATTTGTCTCGCGAGAGTTGGCAACAGTGAGAACAACAGCTGCCGCAGCGGTCGCGCACTTTTAAACTGTGACATGTGAGGTCTCAGAGAAATTCACTAAAATATAATGTCCACTACAGAGGCAAAAACTCCATAGCTGGGTCTCAGGAGGATATATATAGGGCTTGTTTTTGAAGCTGATGTTGCTTATTTGTCTCGCGAGAGTTGGCAACAGTGAGAACAACAGCTGCCGCAGCGGTCGCGCACTCCGGTCCTGGAGAGCCGCAGCCCTGTTGAGTACAGCTCCAACCCTAATTAAAACTCACCTGCCTGTAGCTTTCTAGTAACCCTTCAGACCTTGATTAGCTTGTTCAGGTGTGTTTGATTAGGGTTGAAGCTAAACTCTGCAGGGCTGCGGATCTCCAGGACCGACGTTCGCCACCCCTGCTCTTTATGAACACCTGAGCCGCCAGAGCCGCCAGAGCCGCAACGCTACAAAACAAGGCTACAGTCGACTGCAACGCTTCTTCATTAGAAGTCAGTACATCAACCATAAAGCGACACGTGTTCGGTCCAGTTTGATGGTTGACTTTGGAAAATATCTGACATCTTTATTAAGACGGAGAAAAATGAAGACAGTTTGTTTTGTGCTTCTTTTCGTATCTGGTAAGTAACGTTATAATAATAATAATGATGATGATACTTCACTATGTGCATCGACAGTTTAGAATAGTCTTGAAAGTTAGTCATGTGTTTTTTTAAAGACTATAATATTTTGAGGTTACATGAAAAGATAGATTGGTCTAATTTCAATCCAAAAAGTAAGACTGACAACAGTCCCTTGGCTAAATAGTTCTTATGACACAGTCTTAACCAGCCGCGCCTCGTCTGTATGTGGGTTCTTCACGAAGAACATAGAGCTGTATATAAACTATAGATTTATATAATTCAATTTTCAAAGCGCATCGCTTCGTCAAGCCGGTATCATGCCTACGTATTTCGTCATACGTAGCAGGCCAATAGCGGAGCAGAAGGCAGTGGCAAAGCGCGCTCCAACGCGCTCCATTGACTTTCTATTGCGGGAAGCTGCCTCCTCATTTGTGATTCATAACAACAAACAGAGCAATGCCTAAAAGCTGCTATGTCACAAGCTTTACGGTAAACGAGCTTAAAAAAAAAACCAAAACTACGTTTTTATAAGCCGTCGACCCCCCAAAAACTTTGGGCCGTTAATTTGTATCATTTCTCAAACAAAAGGAAGGTTAGGAAAAGGGACACTGACACAGACCAATAGAATTTAGTTTCTTAATATATCTCCTCCTCTCAGATTCACATAGGCTGGTGAAATAATCCTTTGACATGGTTAAAAATAATGAATGTTTCCTGACGCCATTACGCTTGCTCCAGTGGACGCAGTTCTCAGAGTAAAACGAGCACGTTGCGCTCTACTGTTGTGTCCTAAATGCTCATTTTTTGGGTCGACAGCTTATAAAAAATGTAGTTCTGGGTTTTTTAGTTTGTTTGCTGCACCTTGTCACATAGCAGCTTTTAGGCATTGCTCTGTTTTTTGTTATAAGTAAAAGTATATATAATATATATTATTTAATTTTTTTTTGCCACAATGCAACCAGTATTAGTAACAAAACACTGCAGGGAGTGTGTTCCTTGTTTTAAAAGATTTTCCCACAGCTATAAATAAATAG